TTTGGCCGCTGCTGGCATGCTCCTCATGTACGCGCCGGTGATGGTTGCGCTGGCGGCGTTCAAGTTTGCCTCGATTCCGCTTCTCGTCTCGCGCTCGCTCAACGACCCGTACTCGCGGTTCGCCAAGTTCTACTCGTGTGCCTTTGCCTGGCTCCGGGACGGGAACACTAACGAGCGCAAGGCCAAGTTGGTGGCGTTCAACCAGGCCATGATCGAGTTGACGCATCGCGGAACCAATAGGGTCTCAATTGTCGTTTGCGTGACTAATCTCTCGTCATACTCCAGGATGATCACCCAGCGTGTCATCCAGTACTTTGTTCTGCTCAACAACAGCGATGAGTACTCGTACGCCGAGCACCGGCGGCTGCGCGGAACCTCGATTCGCGGCTTTATCCAGGCAGTGGTCCAGAACTCCCCCTCGGACCCCCCCCCCCCCTCCCCCACTCCCCCCTCCCTCCCTTCCTCTCTCCCTCACTCCCTCCCTCTCGTCCTGTTTGTATTCGTACTTGTCACAAGAGTCGAGTGTGAGTGTGGCTGAGCGCGGACAAAGTGGTGCTGGCGCGGGCGCAGGCGCCAATCCATGCACACGGGACTGGGCGTGGGAACGGCTCGGCCTCCAGTTGTTGTCGAGTGATGACCGCAGCGTGTGATGAACATCATGAGTTACCTATCGCTATCGTCGTGATGTTTGTGCTTTACGATCTCGACTACAAAGTCGAGGTCGAGGTCGACGAGGTTGAGGTCGAGGTCGACGAGGTCGACGACGGTGGTGAGGTCGCGGCTGCAGCGGGCAATGTTGGCGTTGAAACCATGCCAACGTTGCAACTGGTTGAAGAAGCAACAAATGCGTCAACTTCGCTCAAGATAGCATCATGATCTAGGTCAGCGATGTTGTCCGGCCTGGGCTGTGGCGGACGACGACGCCGACGCTGCCTTCCACAGCCGGCAGGCGGAAGCGCAGGGCTTGAGGCTGTTCCCGCAGGGGATTGGCTCTGGTAGCGATGTAAATTTCCAGTCGAAAAGACACCGGTTGCGTGCGTCTGCCGCCGCGAAGCCCTGTTGCGTCGCCTGCGCCGCTTCTGCGGCGCCTGATTGATCAAAGTTGTCGACACTGCCCGCGACATCTGCTTCCTCGGCCCACTTCGCCGCAACGAATCAATCGAACGCATGCCAGACAGCTTGTCCAGCGAGACAGTCGAGTCTTTGGCGGGTGACAACATGTCTGCTTGCTCGAGCTCGGAACTTGCGAAATCGAATGATGACGACGCCGGCGTGAACGTCGGCCGCGACGACGTGGTGCCATTCCGCGACGTGCCAGGCGTACCTGATAACAGGCCCGATGCCGGCCTCGAGTCGGCCGTCGGCCGATGCGCAATCGATACCACATCTTTCCGGCTAGACGCCAACGACGACGACGATGTCGACGACGATGATGTCGACGTTGCCGACGATGTCGACGTTGCCGACGATGACGTGGAAGTAGACGACGAGAAGGAGGAGATGTCCGACGCCGACGAGAACATGCCAGTGGCCGGACCTTCCGCCAGAACCAACGAGCCTGGGTCGTGCAGCACAAAAGCGGATGATGTCTGTGCTCCCAGCATGAGGGCTTTGACGGCGTCGGGGACTGTGCCTTGCGCGTGAACTTGCGCCGACCTCCGCCGTCGCCGCAAGAGGTGAAAGGTGAGGAGCGAGACGACCAAAACGAGAAAGACGAGCTGAAACCCGACCGAGATCCCAAACAAGGTCCGGTCTTCGAGGTAGAGAAAGTACATGAGCTGACCCGAGGAGAGCAGACCCGATCCGATCGACAGCAGCGTGTGCAGCGTGTCGCGGAAAGGATCCAGCAGCGCCACGAGGATCATGGTCACCACAAAGTTGATGATAGTGGCAAAGATGCGCGACGACTCGTCACCAATAAAGACAGTCTCGGCCACAAAGGCCAAGGTGGAGAGGAACTGGAGCGCACGGAACCAGAAGAACGGTGGTTTGAGTCCACGGAGCAAGAAGCCGTACGCCTCCATGGCCACCCGGATAACCTCGGTCCGTCGCGCACGCAGCGCCCAGTACATCTGCACGCCCTTTGCAGCCATCCAAATGGGAAAGGCGGCACAGACACTGACGACCACAATCCACCCCACCACTGCTGCCGGAAGATGCTCGCCCTGATAGCACTTGACCCGGAGCTCGGCCACCAGCCGAGTGCTCCCGTCACCAACACGCACACAATTGATGGCTTGTAGCGAGCGCAACGAGAGCTGCAAGTAGGCCAGCGCAAGAAGAATAATGATGGCATGCTTGGAACGCGAGCGCAGCATTGAAGCCCGTGCGACTGACGTGCCAGACCGACCCGTCGTCCCGCCACTCCGCGACGTTGTATCGCCACCACTGCGATGGCTGAGCATGTGGTCCAGGCGAGACATCTTGCTCGACGCGAGGCACGAAACTGTACGCAGCCAGACGACAAGCAGGAAAGCGATACCGGCGAGGATAACCACTGAGATGGTTCCGTAGTAGAGCGAGATAAACGAGAGCGCGCCGACCGAGCACCCGGGCTTGACCACCTCGATCTCAAAGTTGAGAATCGAGAGCACACGCACAATCGTTGGGAAGAGCTCAGATTTGATCGTGCCTGAGAGCTGCTGGAGGCCAACCTTGAAGACAGCGACAAGCTGCTGGGTGGTGACAACAACAGAGACGACCTTAACAAGCGACTTGGCTGAGAGGAAAAAGAGGGCGAGGAGAACAACAAAAAAGTAGGCACCAGCCACAATCAGAATCATGGCGACCTCGGCCTTGACAGAGGCATCCGAGCCGCATGGCCGGCACACGCCATACTCTTGGTAAAATTCCGCAGCGCAGGTGGAGCAAAACTCGTCAGCATAACCTTCGGCGCACTGGGCAGTGATGCGGAGGCCGTCTTCAGACATGCGCGGAGGGTACGGGCCGAGCTCCCCCACCGATCCGGGACACGCCGACGGCAGCCGGCACTTTGTCGGCGGGACAGACTCGGACGGCGACCAGTAGCCTGCCATCGGCCAGAATCGCGCCCCGCCAGGACAGTGCGCACCCTTGAACCGCGAGCACGGCTGGCAACGGCCACCGTACCAAACAAAGCCTTCGTCGTAGCATTCGTGTTCGACGTAGGTGATGAGCTGCGGCAGGCGGTGCCGTGAACCCAGCGCGGCTACGAGCGCCAGCGAGTGATAGCCAGTCTTGTTGGACGCTGCCGAGACAAAGGCCAGCGTGTTCGGTCCGGCGACTACGCAAGGCAATGTGGCCGTGTAGACAGGCTCATCATCACCGTCGTCTGCAAACACAGGCATGCTCAGCTCGTAGCCACTGCCGACAACAAAGTCAGGGAGCCGCGGAGTCGCTCGTGTTCGTGTCAGCACCATGGCCACGCCGCCTGCAAACGGCGACACGGATGGAGAGAGGGTCCACGAGACCGGATCAGGAACCTTGGGGCCGGCCTGCGGTGGTGGTGGTGGTGGCGGTGGCGGGGGTGAAGGCGGTGGTGGTGGTGGAGGGCTCGGCGACGGCGGAGGAGGCGATGGTGGCGGTGGCGGCGGAAGGCTTGGCGGAGGCGGCGGCGATGGTGGCGGTGGCGGTGGAGGCGATGGCGAGAGCGGCGGCGGCGGCGGAGGTGATGGCGGCGGAGGGCTTGGTGGCGGCGGCGGAGGGCTCGGCGGCGGCGGCGGCGATGGCGGCGGCGGCGGCGGAGGGCTCGGTGGCGGAGGAGGGGGACTCGGCGGCGGCGGAGGAGGAGGGCTCGGAGGCGGCGAAGGAGGACTCGGCGGCGGAGGCGGTGGAGGGCTCGGAGGCGGTGGCGGCGATGGCGGCGGCGGCGGCGGAGGGCTCGGAGGCGGCGGCGGAGGGCTCGGAGGCGGCGGCAGCGATGGCGGCGGCGGCGGCGGAGGGCTCGGAGGCGGCGGAGGGGGACTCGGTGGCGGAGGCGGTGGAGGGCTCGGAGGCGGCGGAGGAGGACTCGGCGGTGGAGGCGGTGGAGGGCTCGGAGGCGGTGGCGGCGATGGCGGCGGCGGAGGAGGACTCGGAGGCGGCGGCGGCGATGGCGGCGATGGCGGCGGCGGAGGCGGTGGAGGGCTCGGAGGCGGCGGAGGGCTCGGAGGCGGCGGAGGAGGACTCGGCGGCGGAGGCGGTGGAGGGCTCGGAGGCGGCGGCGGCGATGACGGCGGCGGCGGCGGAGGGCTAGGCGGCGGAGGAGGAGGACTCGGCGGCGGCGGGCTCGGCGCAACAATGCAGGTTCCATACTCGGGGCCGGGCGCCGAGGTGGTCCACCATCCAGAGCTACACTCAGCACAGCTCGAGTTTCCCCAGTCAGTAGCACAGTTGGTCTTAAGCTCACAACGAGTCCCAGTCCAGCCTGTGGGACACGCCGCTGAGCATGTGGCCTCGAGTGTGCATGCCGAGCTCGCACGCAGACAGCGGGTGCCCTGGTTGCACCCTCCCGGAACCGGGTTGACCAAACGGCTCGGCCCGTGACAGTGGACGTCAACATGCTCATTGTTGGCCCCGTGGTTGCCGCACGAGACTGTGCCTGCGGTATCGACATCGGAATTGGAATGGTGGGCGAGGGCGAGAGCTCCGCCGTTGGGGGAAAAGTTGCGCGTGATGACCATGTTGAACAGGCGCGGCTTGACGTTCTTGCCGCCGGAATCAACAAACACGCCAGACCCGTCGTCAGCAGTGTTGTCGGTAACAGTCACGCCATCCATGATCATCCACGTTGCTTCGGTTGACACATACACGCCACCGCCGTATCGGATAGCGGTGTTGCCAGTCATGTTGCTCCGCGAGTTGAGGAAGACGTACTCGACCTTTTGACCCTTGGCAAAGCAGATGCCACCGCCGTCCATGGCGGTGTTGCCAGAAGAAACCACTCCTCCGGGCACGTCCAACTCGGCACCGTTGCCCCAGTACACGCCGCCCCCGCAACCTGCGGCCGAGTTTCCGGTGGCGACAATGGCACCGATGGTACCGTTGGTGCGGTCGGTCTCGATGGAAATCCCGCCGCCGTCGGCCGTCGTCGCCACGTTGTTTCGCAATGTGATCGTCCCGTTTCCCGCGAGCGTGGCGCCACGTAGCAAAATGCCGCCGGCCTGGCTGGCAGTGCAGCCTGTGACCAGCAGACCGCCATCTCGGATGATAAGCAGGCCGCCCGCGGCGCGCATGGCACCACCGGCGTCGGCCGAACAGTTTGCAATAGTAGTGTTGTCGAAGAGCACATTAGCACCATTGGTCATGGTGATGGCTCCCCCTTGGCCAGAGGTGTACGAGTCGCGTATGATTGAGTTGATAAAGCCCACGTAGCCGTTGGCGTTGACATGGACCGCACCGCCCTTATAGGTGGCGGGCGACAGCCCCGACCGAGCGCACTCGGCCATCTCAACGCATTCAAAGGTGATCGATGAACCAGGTTTGACCAGGATGACCCCGCCCTTCGTTTCGACTGCATCCGTGACAGAGCCCGATCGCAGAATGGTCAACTCTCGAATGGTCCAGTTGTCAAAGTCGGGTACGGCACTGAGGATGTGGTTAGAGAGCTCGCAGTCGAGGATGGTGGTGCCCATGCCGGCCCCGGTGAGGGTGAGGGTGATGCCAAGACCACGACCGGTGATGGGGGACGAACAGTTTGTCCACTTTCCCGGGCCAATCTCCACTATGTCGCCATCTGCTGCGCTCTCCACAACCGCAATGATGTTCTGGATGGAATAGCCAGCTGTCGGCACCGTCAGCGTGGCAGCGTCACAAGCACCAAGAGCCATCAAGACAGCCAGCACGGCAGCCACTCCGACCACACCAAACCGCCCTCGCCAACACGGCCGAGAGCCATACGTGGTTAACATCATGTTGGTGGTGGTGTATGTTGTACTTGTGTGTGTGTGTGTGTGTGTGTGTGTTTGTGTGTGCGTGCGTGTGTGTGTAGAGCGTGTAGGAAAGGGAGTGGGGGGAGGGGGTGGCTGTCCTACGTCAAGAGTTGCAAGGTTGCAAAGAAGGTGTGGGTCACTTGGCAAAAATCGGTTTTTTCTGGCATTGAGGGGCACGAGACCGGCACATGATATGCTCTGCCATTCGGGAGTTCGGCACGGTACCGTCCATGCAGCTCGCGGATCTGATGCAGCAACCAGTTGCACGTATCTAACTGCAAGTTGTGTCTCGATGTCGTTTGCTGGAGAGAGACAAGCTTCCGATCCTTCCGGCTGAGACGAGGTCTGGGCTAGGTTTGGCATGCAAAACAAGAAGTTGCCTCAACAACGCCGGCCCGCGGCTGACCTGTCAGCCCGAGGCGGAGCGGGCGTTTTCGCGCGAGCGGGAATGAGTCATTTGGTGACGGCTCGACATGATCGAGCTGCTGGTGCGCCACAGCAGACCAAACGCCCTGCGGGCTTGGCTGTAAGCAGAGGGCACAGTTGTCCTGCAGCAAGATGGCAGTACGTCTGTGTGGAGTGCTGCAGTGTAGTGGAGAGGCGTAGTGGGGAAGGGTGTGGACTAATGCGAGAGAATGGGCTGCTTTGGGCTGTGTGCGGTGGCTGGCGTCGGGCCGGCGGTGGGACCGGCGGGGGTCTGGGGCGGGAGGACGGACAGAGCACCAAGGCTGACGAGCTGCATAGACAGCTTGTCAGTACGCTTGGTGATGCACAGAAGTGCCACCACAAGCTTGTGGTGTTGTCAGACTCGCTTCCGGGGCGGGCGCAGGCTCTGGTCAAGGCTGTGGCCGCGGTGGTGAGCGAGGGACATGCTGGTGAGGCGTCGTCGTCAGCGGCGCCGACGCTGCCGTCCATCTCCGAGTCTGCGGTGCTGACACTGCCTGAGAGTGGACGAGGCCGCAACCGACACCGGCGGATGGGATCGAACATGTCGAACATGTCCGACGCGTCGACAGGTTCTGCAGCCGTCACCGTCATTGACCGCAACGAGGACGCGATATCCGAGTCGTCGTCACGGTCAGCGACCGGCTCGATCGCCTCTGTTGGCTCGTTCCCAAGCCGGTCCGCAAGATCAGCCACGAGCATGTGAAGCGAACGACGCCAGCACTGCTCAAGCGGTGCCGGCACGGCATCAAGCACGCACTCAAGGGGAGGCTGACGGGCCAAACCAAGAAGATCCTGAGCAGAGCAGAGTCGCTGATCAGCCGGGCGCGGACTGGGCTCAAGCTCTCCAACGGCGGCATTGAGTATCTGGAACCGATGTTGCCGGAGCTGCTGGCGTTTGTGGAGGAGATGGACCTCTCGCGCAACACGCTGACGACGCTACCGACCAGCATCGATGCGCTGACCAATTTGACCAAGCTGAGCCTTGCGTTCAACGCACTGACAGCGCTGCCGGACGAACTGACAAGGCTGCCACATCTGCAATGGCTGTACCTTCGGGCCAACCGACTCACGGGGCTCCCGGACGATATTGGGCGGATGACCTCGCTGCTGGGGCTCTCTGTGCCGAAGAACCAAATTGTCGAGCTGCCGCCGTCGCTCCTGCAACTGACGCAGCTCATCGAGCTCAATGTTGCGGACAATCGCCTGACTCAGCTGCCTGACTTGACCAAGCTCCTTGCGCTTGAGACGCTCTTCTTTGACGGCAACGATCTGCAGGGCAAGGTGCCGCGGGTGCGGAGCAGCAAGTCCCGGAGGGTGGTGTCAGGATCGGGCTACAAGTACCCGCCGCTTGGCGGTGGTCTTGCCCATCCGTCGCAGCTTGCACGCATTGAGCAGCTGTATGCCAGTGAGCTGTCTGCGCTGCGGCGCGAGCTTGCCGAGCTTCTCAAGGCGCAGCAGACGGCGCTCAACCGGGCCAAAGCAACGGCAAACAACTACCACGCGTCGATCCAGACGTTTGGAGCAATCGGATCGCCCAAGTCTGCCGAGTCACCGGAGCTACCGCCTGCAACACCGCCGCCGGGCTCGCGGTCTGTGGCGGACCGGCGGGCGAGGCTTGCACGAGGCAAGTCGCTGAGGCCGTCGTCGCGGATGCTGTCAAACGCGGCTCCGGGCACCGAGCTCGCGCTTCTGCGCAAGCAGCTCGAGTCTGAACGTCTGCTTGTTCGCAAGCTCAACGACGACAAGACGCGGCTCTCAGCGCTCATTGACTCCCAAAAGGCGCGTTGGGAAGAGCTCCTCTCGTCCGGCCTCCACGATACCAAGGCGCTTCAGTCTGTGGTCATGGAGCTTTCGCTGACCAACGAGGGGCTAGAGAGCACGATTGCTGAGCTCTCCGACGAGCTGCTACAGGCACGACTCAAGGTTGCGGCGTTTGAGGCGAGTGATCACGAGGAGCTGATTGCTATGTACGAGCAGCAGCTTGCGGACAAGACTGCAGCACACGCCAGCGATGCAGCGGCGTTTGCAGCGCTCCGCGAAGAGGCGGCCGGTCTCCGCGGTACAAACAGGGCGCTGGAAGCGCAGCTGGTCGACGCGCAGCAAGGTGCGCAGGCCGAGCTACGGATTGCGGAGCTGGAGGCCGAGCTAGCGAGTGCACAGGCTGAAATGGCAGAGTCGAAGGAGTCTACCGACTCGTTGCTGACAACGCTAGACGAGTACGAGGGCGACATTGACGAGCTGTCGAACACGGTCTCTAGCCTCGAGTCGCAGATTGCTGTGCTGACTGCGGAACGAGCCGAGCTTGAGCGCAAGGTCAAGGGCGTCGCTGCGAGCGAGGGCGAGCGCGTGGCCAAGTTGCAAGCCGATCTGGTGAGCTCACGAGCCAGGTGCGATGAGGCTCGCGAGACAAGCGCCGAGTTGCGGCGTGAGCTGAGCGCAGCCAAGGCCGCCCACGACAAGGCGGATCGCGAGCTGACGGCCGCGCGCAACTCGGGAACACGACTCGAACACCAACTGGACAGCACCAAAGCAGAGCTTGCCAAGCTCAAGCGGGCATCGGATCGGACGTCGTCAGAGGCCGAGCGTGAGCTGACAGCGGCACGGCAGACGGCGACTCATCTTGAGCAGCGGCTTGCAGAGACCAAGGCTAAGCTCGATGCGCTGCGGCGCGAAGCCGAGGCGGCCAACACGGCCGCACAGGCAGAGCTTGCCAACGCGCGCTCTGGAGTGCGCGGTCTGGAGCAGGAGATGACAGAGATGCGAGCGGCGGCGGCAGCAGCAGCCGAGGCCGCGGCCGAGGCTGACGCCCACGCGCACCAGAAGCTTACAGCGGCGCGCTCTGCAGCCACCCGCTTGGAGCGCGAGCTCGATGAGCTACGCCGGCGGCTGGGGAGTGCCAACTCGGAGTGCGCGGCGCTGACGGCGCGGTACGAGAACGCGCTCAAGCAGGCGCGCAGGATGCGGGCTGAGCGCGACACAGCGTTGGCGGCACTTGATGATGCCAACGACGAGTACGCTGAGCTGGAGGCGCAGTGTGACGCGCTGAAGAGCCTGCTGCGCAAAGCTGAAGCCAGGCGCGATGCGCTCGCGGGCGATCTGCAAGCGCTCAAGGCCGAGCTGGAATCGGCGCTCGACCGAGTGAGGGAGCTCGAGGCCGAGCGCGATGCTGGAGCTGAGGCAGCACACAACTCACAGAGCATGATCGCTGAGCTGGAGAGGCAGCTCGCGGATGCTCGCTGCAATGCGGAGACTGTGACTGTCAAGCTCCAGGGCAAGGTTGCCGAAGCTGCGTCGACACAGGCGCAGCTGGAGGCGACGCAAACCGAGCTGGAGGCTGCGCAGGCCAAGGTCGCCGACACCGAGTCGACGCTGACCTCGACACAGGCCGAGCTGGAGGCCGCACAGGCCAAGGTCGCCGACACCGAGTCGACGCTGACCTCGACACAGGCCGAGCTGCAGGCGCAGCTGGAGGCGACGCAAACCGAGCTGGAGGCTGCACAGGCCAAGGTCGCCGACACTGAATCGACGCTGACCTCGACACAGGCCGAGCTGGAGGCTGCGCAGGCCAAGGTCGCCGACACCGAGTCGACGCTGACCTCGACACAGGCCGAGCTGCAGGCGCAGCTGGAGGCGACGCAAACCGAGCTGGAGGCCGCACAGGCCAAGGTCGCCGACACCGAATCGACGCTGACCTCGACACAGGCCGAGCTGCAGGCTGCGCAGGCCAAGGTCGCCGACACCGAGTCGACGCTGACCTCGACACAGGCCGAGCTGGAGGCCGCGCAGGCCAAGGTCGCCGACACCGAGTCGACGCTGACCTCGACACAGGCCGAGCTGGAGGCCGCACAGGCCAAGGTCGCCGACACCGAATCGACGCTGACCTCGACACAGGCCGAGCTGCAGGCGCAGCTGGAGGCGACGCAAACCGAGCTGGAGGCCGCACAGGCCAAGGTCGCCGACACCGAATCGACGCTGACCTCGACACAGGCCGAGCTGGAGGCGCAGCAGGCCAAGGTCGCCGACACCGAGTCGACGCTGACCTCGACACAGGCCGAGCTGGAGGCGCAGCAGGCCAAGGTCGCCGACACCGAGTCGACGCTGACCTCGACACAGGCCGAGCTGGAGGCTGCGCAGGCCAAGGTCGCCGACACCGAGTCGACGCTGACCTCGACCCAGGCCGAGCTGGAGGCCGCACAGGCCAAGGTCGCCGACACCGAGTCGACGCTGACCTCGACACAGGCCGAGCTGCAGGCGCAGCTGGAGGCGACGCAAGCCGAGCTGGAGGCTGCGCAGGCCAAGGTCGCCGACACCGAGTCGACGCTGACCTCGACACAGGCCGAGCTGGAGGCCGCGCAGGCCAAGGTCGCCGACACCGAGTCGACGCTGACCTCGACACAGGCCGAGCTGGAGGCCGCACAGGCCAAGGTCGCCGACACCGAATCGACGCTGACCTCGACACAGGCCGAGCTGCAGGCGCAGCAGGCCAAGGTCGCCGACACCGAGTCGACGCTGACCTCGACACAGGCCGAGCTGGAGGCTGCACAGGCCAAGGTCGCCGACACCGAGTCGACGCTGACCTCGACACAGACCGAGCTTGTCGCCGCTCAATCCGAGCGGGACCTCGCACTCGAAGCCCTTGACGACGCCAACGCCGAGCTTATCGAACTCGACGCCGAGATCAAGCACCTCAAGTCTGATCTTGACGAGAAGCGCGTCGCGGTCAACGTCCTCACCGAGAAGCTGACTCGCTCTGCTGAGGAGTCAGCTTTGGAGCGTGCCCAGATCAAGGACGAGCTTGACATGGCCACGGCAAAGCTCTCTTCGGTACACGCCGATCTCGCTGCCGAGCGCGACACCTCTCGTTCGCTCGCCGAGCAGCTCGAAGATGTCCACGCCTCGATGACCCATACTCATTCGCTCCTTGAGGCCGCATCGTCCGAAGAAGCCACCCTAGCCGCTCGTCTTGCCGCTGCAGAGACCAAGTTCCTCAACGCTGCTGCTGCCCAGGCAACCTCGTCTGCCGCCGCTGCCGCTGCTGCTGAGCTCCTCGAAGACTACCGCTGTATCGCCCAGGACGCTGTTGCCGAGGGTGCCGCCCTCGTTGAGACTCACGCGCGTGACACTGCTGCTCTCCAGCCTGTCATCGAGACTCTCAAGGCTGCCTTGCAAGAATCGTCGTCACTCTCCGAGGCCCAGGCCTCGGCCCTTGCCGACAAGCTTGCCGAGCTCACCGCCTCCCTCCGCGCAAAGGACGCCGATCTCTCTGCTGCCCTCGCCAACCGCAGTGCCCTCGAGGCAGACCTTGTCTCAGAGAAGTCGCGTGCTGCAAGCCTCGACACGGAGCTCTCGACCCTCCGCTCGCAAGCCACAGAAGCCTCGCTCTCATCAGACTCACTGACTACTCAACTCGCTGCCGCGCACGCCGACGTCGCAAAGCTCACTGCCGAACGCGATGCGTTGACCGCCGAGCTCAAGGCCGTCCGCGCAGACCTAGCCTCAGCTGGTGAGCAATCCGCTTATCTGGCCTCACAGCTGGAGTCGGCCACCGCTCGCAACGAGCGCGATGCAGAGGCCGCAGCCTCTACCATTGCCGCCCTCGAGGCCTCCATCCGCAAGCACTCTGAGGCCTCTGAAGCTTCATCGGCCGCACTCGACGCCCTCGAGGCCGAGCATGCCGGCTCGGCCGCGCAGGCTGTTACCGCTGCTGCGGCGGCCGAGCGCTACGCTGCTCGCGTGGCAGAGCTCGAGGTTGTGCTGCGCGATGCCTCGGCAGCAGCCTCCTCCTCCTCCGAGGACGCCATCCGACTTGCTGCCGCGCTTGAGGCTTCCGAACGCGCCAAGGTTGAGGCGCTTGATCGTGTTGCTGCCCTCACCCAGACGCTCACCAGCGAGACGGCGTCACTCTCGTCCAACGTAGACGAGAGCGCCGCTCGCGCCCGTGTCGCCGAAGCCGATCGTGCAAAGTTGGAAGCGCAACTCGCCGCGCTCCAATCCGAGCACGACTTATCAACTGCTGTCGTTGCAAAGCTCGAGGCCAAGGCTGCCAGTCTCGCCACTGAGCTCAACACTGCCCTCACTGCCCGGCAGAACGATGCTGCCGATGCCGATAGTCATGCTGCAGAGCTAACTGCCCAGCTCGAGGACGCACACTCACGCGCCGAGACACTCCAAGCCCGAATCACAGACTTGGAAAACAAGCTCACGGCTGCTGGTGAGGGACTGGCCTCCGCGCAAGGGGACACATCCGCTGCAGAGGCCGCTCGTCTTTCGCTCGCCAACGAGCTCGAGTCGCTCACTGCCTCTTACGAGTCCAAGCTCACTGCAGAGGCTGCCCGTCTTGCCTCGCTTGACACGGATGCAATCACCATGGCTGCACAAGTCACCGAGCTAGTGACGGAGACAGAGGCGGCCCGCAGCCAGCTCCGCGCTGCCCAGCAAGAGCTCCAAGAGACCGCTCTCGCCCGTGACGCCGCCGTCGCCCGTGTTGCAAACCTTGAGGCGCAGATTGATGCCCTCTCATCTCGCAGCGAGAAGGCGAAGCACGCCGCTGCAGTCGCCACTGCTGCCCTAGCACAGGCACAATCCCGCGCCGAGTCTTCTTCTCGCCGAATCGCAACTCTCGAGGCCGCACAGGATGTGTATGCCAACGAGCGCGCAGAGCTGCAGCGGGAACGGACTGTCGCTTTGGCCGCCGCAGAGGGCGCGCGTGCTCGGGCCGCTCACCTCGAGGCTGCCCTTGACGATGCCACCCGCGCTGCTGAGCAGGCCACGCGCTCACACGCTGCTACCGTCGACGCGCTTCAGACCAGGCTCGCTGCCTCGCTTCGTGCTGAAGAGGCTGCACATTCTGATGCAGAAGCGGCACGCGACCGCGCCGGCCAAGGCAACATCGATCTGGAGGCTGCGCTAGACGCTGCCAACGCTGCCGCCGCCAGTGCCCAGGCATCAGCCCGTCTGGCGTCGGGCGAGGCCGCTGCAGCGTTGGCAGACCTGAACGAGGCCCGCACAACCATTGCTGGACTCGAGGCTCAAGTCAACGCCCTTGCTGATCGCGAAGCTGCGCTCACAAATGCGCTTGACGATGCACGGACTGAGTCGGCCGCGGCTGCAGCAGCACTCGCTCAAGCCAGCGACACCGCCGATGCCGCGCAGGCCAACCTTCGTGACGCCCGTGCTGCTCTTGCCGAGCGCGACGATGCCACCGCCGCTCTCCGCGCCACAGTTGAGAAGCTGCAGATCGAGGCCGCGGCAACAACGCAGTCGTTCGAAGCCCAACTTGCCGATGCTGCCCATCGCACCGCCCGCGAAATTGACGCGCTCAAGTCGCGTCTCGATGCTGCGCTCGCACAGTCGGATGCGAACTCGTTTGCTGTTGCCGATGCAGACGACGCGCGCAAGACTGCTGTCGAAGCAAACGCAGCACTTCGCTCGCGCCTTGAGGCTGCCGAGGCTGCTGCAGTGGCTGCGACTGCTGACCTTGCCTCTGCCAACGACGTCATCTACCGCTCCAACGCTTCGGTGGAGTCGCTCACTGCACAGCTCGAACGCGCCCAGGGCTTGCTCGCTGACCGCGATGCCCATGTCGAATCGCTGGTAGACGAGCTCACGCACGCGCGCCACGAGCTCAACTTGCTCAATGCCGACCTTACCACCACCACCGAGACGCTGGGCGCAGAACGTGCTCTTGCAGCTTCTGAGCATTCCGTCCGTCGCTCCGAGATCGAGTCGCTCACGGCGGCTCTTCAGGCTGCGCGCGCTGACGCCGAGGCGCTCCGGGCCAGCACCCGCTCCGGCGACGCCGCTGTTCGTGACGAGCTTCTCTCGACCCGGGTTGCCCTTGACGCTGCCCGCGATGATCTTGCACGCACTCGAAACGAGCTTGCGTCGGCCCGTGCCATCATTGATGCCGAGCACAAGGCACGCCTTGCCGCCGAGGTCGCCCTTGCAGAAGCCAAGTCTACTGCCGCCGCTGAGGTGGAGAGCTTGGCTACTGCCGCCGACGCTGCGCGGTCCGATGCCGACGCTCTTGGCGCCCAGCTCCGCGACACACGTAGTGAGCTCGAGCTCGAGCGGAGAGCGTCGCTCGCCAACTCTGACAGCCTTCGGGAGCTGGCCCTCGCTGCAGCCGCTTCGCAGTCTGCTATCCGTAATCTGAAGACCCAGTTGCTCGCATCGTACGCCGAGCGCCAGAGTATCGAGGCCGAGCTCTCTACCATCCGAGCTGCTGCCGTTGTGCACACCGAGCAACGCGCCGCAGACGAAAGCCACCAGCGTGCCCTTGCGGCTCTCCAGGCCCGTCTTGACGAGAGCCTCGTCGAGATCAGCTCGCTTGCCGCTGTCCGCGACGATCTCGACCTTGCGCTCCGGAAGGCAGAGTCCGAGCTCTCGGTTGCTCGTGCTGCCGCAGCAGCGTCTGTGAATGATGCTGCCGTTGCTGCTGCTCATGCCGATGAGCTTGTTGCTGTCGCTCGTGCTGAGGCTGCTGACGCTCGAGGCGTGGCCGACTCGCTCCGCTCAGATCTGCAAGACGCCCTCATTGCTGCCGCTGAGGCCACATCTCAGGCAAAGGCTCTCCAGCTGGATGCTGCTGCGCATGGACCAGCGCTAGAGGCCGCGCGTGCTGACGCAAAGGCTGCACGCACTCAGCTTGCTGCCCTTCGCTCCACCGCCTCGGGTAACGACCATGTCAAGGCCAACGCCCGGGCCGATCAGGCGCAGGCTGAGCGTGCGCTGGCAGCAGCACAGGAGCGTGCTGACGTCCGCATTGCAAAGCTCGAGGCGCGTCTCGCCGCTGCCCTTGCTTCTTACGACGAGGCCAAAAAGGACGCACTCGTGACCAGAAGCAAGCTGGCAGCTGCCGAGCGCGCTGCCCAGCTCAACGCCACAATTGCGCGTGGAAAATCGAATCGCTTGCGTCGGAGTTGGCCGCTGCTCGCGCACAGCTTGAGAGCGCTTCTTCTCGCAAGCCGGTGGCTACACGCACAGTCCCGGCAGTCGCGCTCGACATGCTCCAGCAGCAACTTGATGCTGAGCGTGCAACATGTGAGTCTCTGGAGGATCAGATTCGCAAGCTCGAGTCGGCCCTAGCCCTGGCAGAGCACGCCGCCGCTCGGGCTGCACTCAGTCAGGACCGCTCCTCGCAACAAGTGCAAGACTTGGAGGCGCGTCTTGAAGTGGCCTCGCGCGAGCTTACCCGCACCACCGAGTCAGCGGCCAAGGCGCGCGCTGACACCGAGACCGCACAGGCCCGCGTGATCGAGCTCGAGGCAGAGCTTGCCCAGCAAGCTTCAAATGCAGCACTGGCCGCCCAGGATGCTAATGCAACTCATAGCCGTGAGGTCGCCGCTCTCAAGGCCTCACTCGCAACGGCACAGGCCGACGCGCGCTCGGCCGAGGAGACACAAGTCGGCCTGGAGGCTTCACTGGCATCATTGGCTGCTGCACTGCAAGCGTCCGAGGAGCGTCGCCGCAAGCTGCGCACCGAGCTAGATGTCGTGACCGCAGATGCTCGCAGCCTCGCAGGTGATGAAGCATCTCGGACCCGCGCTGCCCATCTTGCTCAGGCCAAGTTGGCGTCGGCGGAGGAGAACAATGCCTTGCTCGCTGCCCGTATCAGTGTACTGGAGGACCAGCTCCATACCCAAGCACTCGCGCTCTCTCAGGCCAAGTTGGAGGTGAAGCGCGAGACCGCACATGTTGCATCAGTCAAGTCCAAGGCCCAGGCCCAGGCAAAGCTTCTCGAGGCCAAACTTGCTGCTGCACACGACGCTCTTGATCGCGCTCCTGTTGCTGATGGTGCTCGAGGGCATACCGCCGATAGCGACGCTCATGTCTCGATTGATGCTGCTCTGTGTGCGCTCAAGTCGGAGGTCGAAGCAGAGGCCGCGGCTCGCTCCGCAGCTGTAACTCAACTTGAGGCTGCCAACGCTCGAATCCGAGACCTTGAGTCTGCCCTCGGTGAGGCTCAGGCTGCCGTGCAGCTGGAGGAAAGCTCCGTCTCGGCCTCGAAAGCCCAGCTCGCGGCGCTCGAACGCAGCCAGTCGCTGACTCGAGTCGAGGGGGAGCTCAAGGCTGCCCAGGCTACTGCTGTCGAGAATCATGCCGCCATGGCGCATGCGCTCAACCTCGCTGAGAGCGCGCAAGCAGAGGCCGCCTCAACTCGTAGTCGCCTCGAGTCGCTCCAGGCTCAGCTGGCGTCGGCACCAGCCGAGGCGGAGGTCCAGCGCACTGCTGAGAACGCAGCCCGTCGTGCTGCGGTCGTTCAGCGTGCACTGACCGAAGAGCGCGACTCGCTTGTCGCTGAAGTTTCTCGTCTTCACTCGAGCTACGCGCGTGCCAGCTCGTCACTCGTGCTCCTTGCACGTGCCTTTGACGTCACTCTCAATCATTATGGTTGCAATGTGGACGAGCTCCCGGTGGAGATCAAGCTGGACGAGGAACTGTCGATCCGGGTTCCCAAGCCACTCCCCGAGCTGGCGGAAGAGAATGCACGGCTAGTGGCCCAGCTCGAGGTGGCAGCGGCTTCCCGTGACACCACCCGGCGCCAGCTACTTGCACTCCAAGCGGAGCATGCCGACGCGTGCGCGCGCGGAGATGGACTTGAGGTACTTCTCCAGGCAGCAAAGGTGGAGAAGGCAGAGCTCGAGCGCCAAATCGTGGTGGCACAGGCCAATGCATTGGCGCTTGCCACTGCCCGTGACAACGCTATTTCTGACGCCCAGTATGCTGAGGCCTGCTTGGCCGAGTTGGAAGCCGCGCGCGATGCGGCCCGCGAGGATGCGATGCGCGCGCGTGAACAGAAACGTGCTCTCGCCACCCAGCTCGCGCTCGCCAACGATGCCGCTCTTGCCACCGCCACTGCCCTCGAGAGCGAAGTTGCTGCTCTGCGCACCGTGGTAGAGACCATGTCGTCGGACGCGTCGCCAACAGTTGTAAGCGAGCATGTAGCTGCCGAGCTGGTGCGGCTTTTTACTCTTCTTGATGATGACACAGACCACCGCGCTAAGCAGGCTGATCTTGTCACTGGCCTCCGCGCTGAGCTGGAGGCAAAGAACGAGGCGATGGCGTTCGAGGTCGCACGAGCCACGGCTGCGGCAGAGTCTCTTCATAATGCCCAGAGCGACATTCGAGAGCTACAGTCCAGACTGCGCCGGATGGAGACTGAAGCCGAGCTGGCGGATGCTGTGCCAGTTGTCCCGGCAACTGAGACTAGCCGCGTCGCTGCACTCGCTTCTCCGCATGGAGACGACTCGCGAGTCGCGCACCTGGTTGCCGAAAAGGAAGCACTAGAGTCGGCACTTGTTCGTGAGAGTGCCGAGCTCGACGTCCTTGGCGGATCATTGAGGGCAATGTGCGGCGTTCTGGCAGCAGCCCGTTCGCGCCGCGGTCCGAGCGCTGCCGGCCTGGCCCGACAGTCGTCGGTCGAAGTGACAACCAAGATGCAGCTTGCGGCCGCCGAGGCGAGGATTGCCGAGCTGGAGGCGTCGCGTAAGCGGGCTGCCGAAGCACAAGCCCATACCGTCAACTCGTCCGAGGCTTCACGAGCCCGCATCGCGGCGCTCACCACCCAGCTTGCCGACGCGCAAGAGCAACTTGAGCTTGAGCGCGAGCGTGCGGCACGTGCTGCGACTACCGTCGAGGCGCAGGCCGGTGAAATTCAGTCACAAATGGACGCGCTCTACCGAGCCCTGGAGGACGCTCGGGCTGCTGGTGCTGTGAGCGCCGCTGATGGACCTGTTGTCCTTGCCCTGCGCCGCCAGCTCGAGGCGGCCAACGCCAGTCAGGACTCGCTTCTGGCCAATGTTCAAGATGCGCAGAACAAGCAAGCTCAGGCCGACAAGGCCGCCGCTGTCGCGCGCGCTGAGGCGCGTGTCGCCCGGGAAGCGCTCGATGATGCACAGGTCGCTGTCGAGAGTGTGCGGGCCGAGATGGATGCACTGCAGGCTGCCAGTGGTGCACGCGAGGTCGAGCTGTCCGCCGCTCTGGATGCTGCGCTCGAGGCGGCAGCCGAGAAGGACAGCCTGATGGAGAGCCTCGAGGAGGAGGCGCTCCAGGTTGAGGAGACTCTGCGGAATCAAAACCGCAAGCTTGCCGAAGAGCTCCTTGCGCTCCGCGAGCATGTGTTTGAGCTTGAAGAGGCCGGGCTCGAGACTCAGCGCACCATGTCGCTGGCCGATCTCAAGCTGGCGGCTGTGAGTGAAGCTGACCTTGTCTCATCAGAGCAGGTCTCGTCGCTTGCGGCCGCAAATGCGTCGTTGGAAGCTACAGTCGAGGCGCTGACGGCGCAGCTGCAGCGCGAGCGGGAGCGCGCCGACGAGCTTGCCGAGGCCCACGAAGTGGCGGTGGATGATGCTGCACGTGCGCGTGCCAAGGCCACTGCCCAGTTTGAAGCCGACGTCGATGAGGTCCACACCCAGCTTGCTGAAGAGCGTGGTCATGTAGCTGCCCTGCGTGCCGAGATTGAGAAGCTTCTCGCCGAGAACGGGAAGGTGCAGGACGAGAAGCACAAGCTGTTTGTGGAGAACAACAGGGTGCGCGACATGCTCAACCGGGCCGAGAAACTCAACGTGAGCCTCGCCGCCGAGCGCCATACGACAGGCGAGGCCGCCGACGATGCCACTGCGCGCCTTGCTACCGTCGAGGATCAGCTCGAGGCCGAGCGCACCAGCTTTTCCGATGAGATGGCCAGCATGCGCGCGGCCTTGGCCGAGGCCCGAGCCGCTCGCTTTGAGGCTGCTCAGAACGAGAGGGCCAATCAGTTTGTGCTCAAGACACAGCGGCAGACCATTGCCACGCTCGAAGCGCAGGTGGCTGAGCTGAGCGACGAGGTTGAAGCTGCTCGAATGGCAGCGACGTCCGAAACAGCGACCATTGCCAAGCACGCAACCATTGATACTGAGATGCTTGCAGAGCGAGAGGCTGAGCTTGTGCGGAGACTGGCTGGTGAGCATGCTCATGCCATGGGTCTGCTCAAGATGCAGTTGCTGGGTGCACTGTCGGCGGCGCAGCAGCGCGAGGCCGCGCTCAGAGGCAATTTGGTCGCAACCAAGGCAGAGCTCCGTGACGCAGTTGCGGTACGAACTGAGCTCACCGGCTCGCTCACTCGAATCCAGAACGAGATGGACACGCTCAAGCTCAACGCTCGCATCGATGTTGAGGCTGCTCAGGGCGCTGCTGATCATGCTCACTCGCTCGCTGAGCAAGTCAAGGTTGAGCTAGCGCTCGCCCGGGATGAAATCGCCGAGCTGCGGACTGCTCAAGCAGCGGCAGAGGCGGAAGCTCGAGTCGCCGTTGCTGCTGCCAAGCGAGCCGAACTAGTTTCTGAGACCAGTCACAACGCGGGCCGGGTTCTGGAGATGGACGTCAAGGCTGCTCAGGCTGCTCGTTATCGAGCCGAGGAAAAGGCCACTGCGTTGCAGTCAAGGCTAGCTGAAGTTTCGGCGGAGCTGGAAGCTGTGCGAAGCAGCGCGGCGGATGCTACCGACACTGCGTCGCGTGACACGGCTGATCTTGCGCGCAAACTGGAAGAAGCCGTGGCTGCAGTCAGTGCCAAGCACGAGGCCTTAGTGTCAACCCGGGCCACCGTTGCCCGGCTAGAGTCGGATGCGGAGCTAGTGGCAGCCGCAACGGCTCAGCAGATCAAGACTCTGGAGGCCCGGATTGTTGCGCTTGTCGACAGCGAGTCAGCAGATGCTATAGCTGAGAGCATCGAGGCTGAGGCCGCTGCTACCGAGGCTGCTGCGCAGGCGCAGGCCGCTGTTGTGGATGCTGCCGAAGCGCGTGCGGCTGCGGCTGCTCGTGAGGCTGCGGCTGCGACGTCGAGCGCCGAGCAGTCCCAAGCCCAAGTTTCGGCACTCCATGCCGAGCTGGCGGCAGCAACAGCCGCCGCAACCGCGGCGCGCGAAGAGAGCGTTCGCGCCGAGTCGCGCGCCAACGCCGCGTCGGCGCAGATCGCTGCTCTCGAGACTGCCAATGAGGAAACTCGTGCCGCCGATGCTGCAGCCATGGAGGCACTGAAACGCAAGGTTGCTGCGCTAGAGGAGGAGCGTGCGGCGGCGGAGCGCGCCAGCTCGAACCGCGTTGCTGAGCTCGAGTCGGTTGTTGCTAAGCTGGAACATGCGGTGGCGAGTCAGAACGCGGCGGTCTCCAACTTGACTGCCGAGGTCGCTGCCCGCGAGGCTCAAGTGGCTGACCTCACTGCTGCAGCACGGCAGGCAAAGGATGGCCAGGACAACGCCTTGCGGGAGGTGGGCATGCAAAAGGCGCAGCTGAGTCATGTACATGATGATCTGTCCCGTGCCGAAGCACGGCTGGCTAGCCTGCAGGCGACTCACTCTGCCACCCTTTTTGACTTGTCTGAAGCCCAGACCAAGGCCTCGCAGGCGGCGGCAACATGCACAAGCTTGGCCGAGGCACATGTTGCTGAAGTGGAAGAGCTTCGGGCCCAGAACGAGGAGCTGCGCGAAGCTGCGCTCGCCAAGGTCGCCCCGACGTTGCACAGCTGCTACGCTCGGAAATGGTCCGACAGGCATCAGACTCGCAAATTGCTCTGGAGAAGGCCAGTGGTGCTGTTTCTGGGTTGCAGCACGCCGAGGCTGCGCTCCGGGCCGCAGAGGCCAAGATCGCTGCGCTTGAGGCGGGGCTGGAATCCGCCGAGAGCCGCGCTGCAGACGCTGGTCGTGCCCGAACAGCCGAGATCCAGCGGATGGCGCGCGAGCTGGCGCGACTGACGACAGAGCGTGCAGCCGCTGAGACGTGTGCTGCTGCAGCGGAGCGCGAGGCATTGCATGCGCGGTCTGCAGCCGACTCGATCAAGTCGACCGCTGCAGCAGCCGAGGCAAAGTACGAGGAGCTTGTTGCTCGGCTCTCGCGACAGCTGAGAGAGAGAGACGCTGAGCTGGTAGCTGCACGCCGCAACTGCAGTGGGCTTGAGTCGCGGCTGGCCGCGCTCTCGCGCGAGCTGGGCCTTGTCCAAGCCTCGCTGCAGGAGACCGTGGCGGTGCGGGATCAACTTGCCCGCGCCGCCAAACGGTCGCTGGGCGGTGCACCTGATGGGACAGGCGCATCGAGTGAGGATCTGTCGCAGCGCGTGGAGCGCCGACGGGCGCGGCTGGGGGCGGCACCTGTGAGTGACGCCGCGCTCGAAGAGCTGGCCGCTATGAGCTCAGAGCTTGATGAGGCGCTCGATGATGCCGCCAACGCGCGTGTCGCCGCTGAAGCGGCGCGCGACTCGGTGGCCGTCCTCGAGTCCCGGATTGAGGAGCTCAACGCTGAACTGGCGCTCTCGCGCGAGGAAGCTGACAATGCCCGCTCGCAAGCAGCCGAAACGGCCGCCATGGTGACCAAGTTGCAGCACGAGCTTCACGGTGCAAAGGCTGCGCTTCTGCCGCTGGGAGAGGATGCCGTCGCAGCTGTCGACCGTGCTGTGCGTGCTGAAGCCACCGCACGCGAGCTGCAGATTGAGCTTACTGCCGCTAAGGATGAGGCCGCTGAGTCCCGACAGGCGCTGGTGTCTGTCAAGGCCGAGCTTTCAGTCACCCGCGACGCTCTGGATCGGCGCAACGCCTCGTTTGCCGGAGAGGTTGAAGCAGTGCGGGTGGCTGCGCTCCAAAGGAGTGAGTCGCTTGAGTCTGAGGCTGCTGCCAGTGAGGCGTCGCTCGAGCTCGCTACGCTGTTTGCTACGTTGGAAGAGAATAGCCGCGAGATGCTGCAGCTGTCTGCGGGTGTTGAGCGCGCCGAAATGGCCGCCGAGGACGCTAGCCGCAGGCTAGCGTCGACTCGAGGTGAGCTGCTGGAAGCCATCAAGGCCCGTGAGGCTCTCCGTGCAGAGGTCGAGTCGCAACAGGCCGGGCTTGCTGTGGCTGCCTCTGAGCTTGCAGCAGTCCGCGGCGAGACTGAACAACAGCGCGAGGATCTCGAGCTCACCATCCAAGAGCTGGAAGCTGCACTCGAGCGTGAGCGCGCAGCGCGAGTGGCCGCACATGCTGAGGCTGCGGCTGAGGAGCAGCGGGTGGCGGCCGAACAGGCAGCGCTGCAGACGGCGCTACGCGCTGCCAACGCCAACGTGGCTGCGGCACAGGCCGCGCTGGCGGCCGAGAGCGCCCGAGCACTTGAAGCTGAGCAGACGAGCCGCGACATCAAAGTCGAGCTGCGGTCTGCAGAGGCCGAGATTGCCAAGTTGAAGGCGCAAGCCGAGATGGCATGCCAGCAGTTTGCGGCTGTGGATGAGATCCAACGTTCTCTTGCGGAGCAGGTCGACGCACTGATGGCAGCCCGACAGGCTGCCCTGCGCGCGTCTGAGACTGCGGCGGAGCGGGAGCGGGAGGCGGTTGTCGAGTTGCAAGCTTCGCAAATAGTCCACAAGCGGCTTGTGGGTGAGCTGGCGGCAGCACATGCACTGCAGGCCGAGATGGCCGCTGCAAGCGATGAGAGCGGGCAAGTTGCGGCAGCAGTGGCTGCGGTGGCACGAGCCGAAGCCGGTCATGACGAGGCAGTGGCGGCGGCCGAGGCTGCGCAGGTGGCAGTCGCCCGCTTGAAGAGCGAGCTTGCTGCTGCACATTCCAAGCTGGAGCAGGCCGAACTTGCAGCTGGAGAAGCCGCGGAGTCGGCCACCCTCCTTCGCCAAGCCTCGCTCGATACAGTGGCAGCCATGCCGGCAGCAGTTCAAGCCGAGCTTGATGCACAGGCTGGCGAGCTGGACACTTTGCGACGCGAGCTGGAGGCCGAGCGTGCAGCAAGCACACTTGCCACGCACAACGCCGAAGAGGCCAATGCAGCGCTTGTGGGACAGGTCGAACGCGAGCGCAATCGCGCAAGCGCGGCCGAGAGGCAGGCGCGGCTGGCAGAGATGGAGGCCAAGAGCCTGGGCTCGCGACTTGGCGTGGTGGAGGCCGAGCTCGAGATTGCTCGCAGTGCACAAGCATCGCTGGACGAGACAGTGCAGCGAGTGAATGTGGAACTGGAGCGGGAGCGGGCCCAGCTGGATGCGTCGCTTGCTGAACGTGGGCTTGCGATAGAGGCGCTTCATGCGGAGCGCTCGCGCGATGCCAGAGCATTTGAAGCCGAAATGGCTGCGCTCCAAAGCGATCTTGACGATGCGCGCCGGAACTGTGCCGAGTTGAGAGAGCTTCAGGGCGAAGCTCTGGCGACCAACGCGCGGTTGGAGGAAGAGCTACACGAGGCCCATGTCCTGCTTGATGAGGCTCGTCGGCGCAACACGGCCCTTGCGGACGAGCTAGCGGACGCGCAGCGGTCGTCGCTTGCTGCTGCCGAGCTGGAAGAGGCGCATGCCCGAGCTGCCGCGCTTCAGGCCAAGCTTGTGGCAGCGCAAGATGAGGCTGCCGCTTCCGCCCGCAAGGCTGCTGGAAGCTTAGCTGCCGCCGCCAGTGCTGAAGCTGCCATTAAGCGCGAGCTCCGTGCAGCCCAGCAAGCCCTCGTGGTCAAGGAAGCTGAGGCTGAGGCTGCTCGCGCACGCGCCGCGGAGCTGGATGCTGCCGTTTCTGGACACGTTGCTCAAACTGAGGCTGCTGGTGAGTCCGCGTCAGTCGATAAGCTGCAAGCCGCGCTTGCTGGGCTCAAGAAGCAACTGGATCAGGCCGTTGCCGCGCGAGAGACTGCAGAGCGCAAGGCGGACGCAGCATCCGAGACGGCAAGTGTTGCCAACCGTCGGGCGAGTGATGCCGAAGAAAGCGTCAGTGCGATGGAAATCCGAGTTACTGAGTTGGAGCGGCAGGTGGCCGAGGCCGAGCTGCGACTGGCAGATCGCGCTTGCGAGCTTGAGGAGGCACGAGTGGCCATGGATGCACTGCGCGCATCAGCGAGCAAGGATCGTGCTGGGTTGGAGAACCGTCTGACGACGCTGCGAACACGTGCGGCGGACGACGCCGACCGGGCTGCCGAGGAAATCAACTCAATTCGGGCAGGCCTTGTTGAGGCGCAGTCGGCGCTGGCTGACATGACGTCCAACTATGAGGAGGCGCGCGAGAACGAGGCCTCGCTCCGTACGGCACTGACAACCCAGAACGCGGTTCTTGAAAAGTTGCAGGGCGATCGCGAGACGCTGCGTGCCGAGGTGGCTAACCTCCATCCGCAGCTGGCAGCCGCCGAAAACAGGGTGCAAGGCCTGACAAGCGAACTGGCCGAGGCGCACGAGGCTGTTGCAGCAGCCAAGGCTGACACGGCATCGAGCGAAGCTCGGGTGGCTGAGCTGACAGACGCTGTCAAGCAGGGAAAGCTGGAAGCCGTGGCCTCCGCTACCCAGCTTGCCGAGGCTCGGGCCAAGGCACTGGCCTTCAAGGCGCTCAAGAAGCGACTGCAGGCACGGATCGCCGAGCTGGAAGCAGCGCTTCAAGATGATGGCCGCCCGCCGGTTACATCACCGGCCGAGCCCGAGCCCGAGCCCGAGCCGATGACGACGGCGATCGCGCCCAGCGCGACGGCGGATGTGGTGGCAGAGCTGGAAGTCAAGCTGGAAGAGAGCCGAGCTGGTAAGCGCGAGCTGGAGGCTATGGTCGAGGCTGCTGAAGAGCGGGCAGAGGTCTCGGCACGGGCCACAGCAGCGCTCCAGGCTGAGCTGGCGTCTCTGCAAGAGACCGTTTCGGCACGCGATAGAGCCACTGCGACAGGTGTGGATGCAACTCTTGCTCAGGCTCGCTCAGAGATTCAGGCCAAGACGATCGAGCTTGCCAAAAACCAGCAAGCGTTGGCGAGCGCGCAAAAGCGGGTGCTTGAGCTCGAAGATGCCGTTGCTGTCGCCACGGCCGCACAGGAAGAGGCCGAGCGGGCTCGCGATGCGTCCATGGCCGATGGTGCAGGTGCTGCTGCAGAAGCCGAGTCGACAGCAGCACTGCTTGCGGAAGCCAAGGCACAGGTGGCACGGATGGAAGCCGCTAAGAACGCGGCTGACGCTGCGGCCGTTGCTGGTGACGTCGAGGCATCAGCAGCGGTGAGCCGGGCTCAAGCCGAGGCGGCCCGTCTGCAAGCTGGGGTGAATGCGGTTCGCGCGACAGAAGCCGAGACTGCGCGCCGAGCGGCGGAGCAAAATGCAGCGTGCGCATCTGCAGAGTCAACACTTGCAAGAGCAGAGGCGTCCGTGGCGCGATACAAGGCCCTGGTCGAGTCAATGCAGGCTGAAATGGATGATGCCCATGGGCGCACAGCTGAGGCTGAGGCCGCGCGAGCATCCGCGACCCGTGGGCGGGCCGAGGCTCGCGCCGAGATCGCGACGCTGCGTGCCTCCCTGGAAGATAGTGAGACGGCGCGAGCGCGAGCGACAGCACGGTTGCAGGCAGTTGAGGCCGAGCTGGAATTGGCTCTTGAGGACGTGGATCGGGCCAAGGCTCGCTGGAGGCGGGCACAGGCCGAGGCTGACGAAGCCTTTGCTGCACGTGACAAGCTGGTCATGCAGGCTGCCGAGCTCAAGGGCGAGCTTGCTGGAGCATGCAGCAACGTCATCCGGCTGGAAGAGATGGCCGCGGGTGACGCCAGCGCGCTGATCAAGACGGCGGCCGAGGCCAACGAGCTGAGGCGCCGTGTTGGTGTGGCCGAGGAGGCGGTTGAGGCCGTCTCTCGGTTGGAGCAGGCGCTGGCTGCTGCGCGCAGCGAAGCTGCCGACGCCATCAGCCGTGCTGATGAGGCACAGGCCAAGGCGCGGGAGCTTGCGAATGCGCTTGACCAAGAGCGTGTCCTGCTTCAGCAAGAGCGTCATCGGCGGGCTCAAGTGGAAGGCCTCAACGCCGACCTTCGCGCTGCCGGTGAGCAAGCCGAGGTCGAGCTTGCTGACTTGCGTGAGGAAGCGGCGCATCGGGACGGGCTGGCGACGATTTTGGCTACTCGGGAGAATGAGTTGGCTCAGGTGCGTAGCGAGCTCGCTGCGGCCCAGGCGCGGCTAGCGTCGCAAACTGGTGAGGTAGACGCGTCTGCCGACGAGCGGGCTGCGCTGGTCGGAAAGGTCGCCGGGCTGACGCAAACTGCTGCCGAGTACGAGCAGCGCAACATGTTCTTGGAGTCTGCGCTGGCGACGAGCCAGGCCGAGGTCAAGCGACTTCGGGCTGAGATTCAGGCTAGCGAGGTTTCGATGGTGTCTGTGCATCGAGTGGCCGCCAAGGCTGGTGATCTTGATGCCGAACTGGCCGAGTGTCAGAAGGCGCTGCAAGAGGCGCGTATTGATGCGCGAGCGGCCGAGGAGGCCCAGTTCATTGCGGCGGCGGCCGAGGCGGCACGGGTCAAGGCCGAAGCAAGTGTGGAGGAGGCTGACGGGCGTGCTGAGCGTGCTGCAAACTCTCTGGCACAGGTACGCAAGGAGAAGGCCGAGCTCGAAGGCAAAATGGAAGGCATGGTAACGGCGCTTGCAGCGCTTGAGGCCCGAATGGGTGTGGAGCGCGAGCAGGCGATCGGTGAGCGCGAAAAGAGCACTGCGCTACGCGCCTTGCTGGAAGAGGCTGATGCTCGCGAAGCCGACCGCAGGCGGGCGCTGCGAGAAGCGCAGGCGCAGATCAATGAGCTTGAAGCACGGCTGGCCTCCGAGTCATCGCTGAACGAGTCAGGGACAGCGTCCCGGCTGCTTGAGTCGACCATGCTGGCGGAGCAGCTGGGTGAGGCTAAGAGCGTGCTCGAAGAGTCGCTGGCGCAGGCAACGGCAGAAAAGAGCATGCTCGCTGGGAAGCTAGAGCTCACTCGCGGTGAGGCCCGGCGGGCCGAGGTCCAGCGTGCCGACGTCGCAGCCGAGCTGGAGGCCGAGGTCGAACGGCGGCGACGGGCCGAGGCTGAGCGAGACGCCGCAGAGTCGGCGGTAGCCAGCCTTCGCGGTGAAGTCAATGGACTCCAGCAAGCGCTGGCGCGGCTGCAAGCTGAGGAGACGTCCGAGACGCCCCGATCTGAGCTGCGAAGCGAGCTCCGGGCAACACTTGCACAGGCTGCGCAGCTGCAAGGCCGGCTGGATGGTCGCGAGAAACAAGTCGCCGAGTTGGAGGTGCTCCTCGCCTCTGCCGAGCACGCGGTAGAGCGTCTGGAGCGGCAGGTGGCAGACACGAGTAGCATGGCTGAGCTTGAGACTGAGCTCCGAAAAGCCAAGGCGGCCGTTGTCGAAGCCGAGGAGAACGCACGCAAAGCGTGGGTGGCCGCCAACGATGAGCGAGTTGCGTCCATGGAGCGTGTTAGAGTTGCCGAGGCCGAGACGCTTGAGCTGCAGGAGGAAGCCGTCGAGGCTGTGCGGCGCAAGCTCCAGGTGGCGGTTAATGCTGCCGAGGACCGTGCGAGTCGCGCCGAGCGGGTTGCGACGCAGGCAAACGCCAAGTTGGAGGAGGGTGTGGCGTCGCTCCAGCAGGCGAATGCTGCTCGCGAGGAAGCACTTGCAGCCGTTCGGGCCGCCGAGGCCCAAGCCGATGCGGCTCTGAAGGAGGCGCGCGATGCTCGCGATGCTTGTGGTGAAGCGACTGTTCGTGCCAAGGCTGTCGAGCGGCAGGCTGCTGCTGCCGAGGCCCGGGCCGCTGATGCCGAAGCTACGGCTGCGAATGCGATGGCCAAGCACAAGCAGGCCCGAAAAGAGACCAGCACTGCTTTGGAGACGGCTGATGCCGCGCAACGTGCTGTTGCCGAAGCTACGCGCCGGGCGGCCGAGGCCGAAGCCGTGGCGGCGCGTGCGTGTGACGAGCGCGACCGCGCGGTGGCGCAGGCTGAGGGAATGGCGAGCTCGGTCGGCGCAAGTGCCGAGGAGCTACTGGCGGCGACACAGAGGGCCGAGGTCGCAGAGGCTGCGCGTGAAGCAGCAGAGCGACGGGCAGAAGTGGCAGAAGCCCGCGCAGCCGAGGCTGAGGCACTCGCAGATGACGCTGTGGCCAAGCGGAGGGCAGCGACGGCTGAGGCTGCTCATGCCACCGCGGCGGCCGAACGGGCTGAGCGCGCCGCAAGTGATGCAACACGACGTGCGGCAGAGGCCGAGTCAGCTCGGATAGAAGCATGGAACGAGCGTGAGAGCGCGGTTCGAGCGGCACGTGATGCTCGTGAAGCCGAGGCGCTCGCGGCGGCGAGTGCTAGGACCGCTAGTCGCCGGGCTGACGACTTGGATGTTGCCCGTGACGCTGCCGAGCGGCGGGCAGCTGCCGCCGAGGCCCGGGCCGCTGATGCCGAAGCTACGGCTGCGAATGCGATGGCCAAGCACAAGCAGGCCCGAAAAGAGACCAGCACTGCTTTGGAGACGGCTGATGCCGCGCAACGTGCTGTTGCCGAAGCTACGCGCCGGGCGGCCGAGGCCGAAGCCGTGGCGGCGCGTGCGTGTGACGAGCGCGACCGCGCGGTGGCGCAGGCTGAGGGGATGGCGAGCTCGGTCGGCGCAAGTGCCGAGGAGCTACTGGCGGCGACACAGAGGGCCGAGGTCGCAGAGGCTGCGCGTGAAGCAGCAGAGCGACGGGCAGAAGTGGCAGAAGCCCGCGCAGCCGAGGCCGAGACGCTCGCTGACAGCGCTGTGGCTAAGCGCAAGGCCGCAGTTACCAATGCGGCTGCTGCTGTGGAGGCTGCAGAAGCCAGTAAGGCCGAGGCAATGAGCCAGGCACGGGAGTCGGCGAAGCGAGCGAGTCACGCCGAAGTGGCGTGCGAGGCTGCAGAGCGGAGGGCAGCGGTGGCCGAGGCGCGGGTGGCCGAGGCCGAGTCGCTAGCCAGCAACGCGGTCGAAGAGCTCCGAGACGCACTAGCCGAGGCAGACTCTCAACTAATCAAGGCGGAGAAGGCGATGCGGAGCAGTGCTGAAGCCAGTCGTCGTGCAGATGAAGCCGAGACACAGCGTGCAGCAGCAGAAGCGCAGCGCGATGCTGCCATGGCAGCAGCCCGTTCGGCCGAAGAGCGGGCCGAGACGGCAGAAGTCGATGCCAAGACGGCAAAGAATGAGGCTGCGAGAGCAGTTGCACAGGCTGATACGGCAGAGGCAGCTGCGGCCGACGCTCTGTTGGCGCGTCAGGATGCGCTGCGGAAGATGCATGTTGCTATCGAGGCGGCAGAAGCGAATCAAGCAGCGGCAGACAAAGAGCGAAGGGCGGCGGAGAAGGCCAGCGTCCGTGCCGACATCGCAGAGGCACAAGCTGCTGCTTCTGATGAAGCGCGGCTGGAGGCAGAGCGAAAGGCCCGCGAAGCGGAGGCCAAGGCGACAATAGCTACCGAGAATGCGGAGGCTGTGGTTGAGGAGATGCGCCGAAAGGCGGATGCGGCCATGGCAGCATCGGCCACGGCCAGTCAGCAGCTGGTCGAGTTGACTGCAAGTGAGCAGGCTGCGATTGTCCGTGCTGAGACTGCGGAAGCCGGGCAGCGGGCGGCGCTCGCATCGGCACGCGATTCAAACTCGGTCGAGGTCGACCTCGTGGCGGCGCAGCGGGCAGCAGATGCTGCCGAGCGGCGCGCAGAGACTGCTGAGCAGGCTGCTGTCGAAGCCGCTAGCCGCCGCAAGCAAGCTGAGAACGATCGCGACATGGCTATCAATGCGCAACGCGCGGCAGAGCAAGAGCGCTCCGATGCTGTTGATGCTGCGTGTCGGGCGGAGCGTGCGATGGTGATGGCGCAGGAAGAGGCTGAGGCGGCGAGGGCTGCGATGGCGCAGAGCAAGGCTGATGCAAGCAAGGCCAAGGCAGCTGCCGATGTGGCGGCAGCCAAGTGCGAGGAGGCTGAGCGCGAGATGGCGCGAGCCCTGCGGCGAGCTGAGGCTGCGGAAGCTGCTTGTGATGAAGCAGGCCTTGTGGCCGAGGGTGCACTCTCGCGGGCGAGTGAAGCCGAGAACGAGGCTGCGCTTGCCAAGCGGCGCGTGTCGGCTGTGCAAGAGGAGGCGCGGCAAGAGATGGACACCTCACTGCATCTTGCCGAATTGGGTGCGGAACGAGTGGCTGGTGAGCTTCAGGAGAAGCTGGCTGCTGCGCAGAGTGCATGCACTCGTGCTGCGGAAGCTACTGCAGCTGCGATTCGCGAGCGCGAGTGGGCTGAAGCGGCGGCTGAGAAGGCGCGCGCAGATGCAGAGGCCGCGGTGAAGGCTGCAGAAGTTGCCAACACAGAGCGGGCCAAGATGGAGGACGAGGCTCGGCATGTGCGGCAGACAGCGCGCACTGAAGTGGCGGCTGCTGAAGACGCGCGGCTGAAGGCCGAGATCGAGGCAAAACGCGCACAGGCAGCCGCCAACTCGGCCCGCGAGGAGGCGAGCAAGGCCAACTCCGAGCTCGAGGCTGCGCAGCGTGAGGTTTCTGACCTTGGCTGCAGGTGCAAGAGGCCGTGGCAGCTGCCGATGAGGCGACGTTCAAGCTGAAGCGCACCTTGGCCGACGCCGCTCTTGATGTGGCAACTGCCGAGGGCGAGGCTCAGCTGGCTCGTGAAGAGGCCCGTAAGGCGCAGGCTGCCGCAACAAGTGCATTTGACGCGGCTGACAATGCCAAACGTGAGCGCGACGACGCCGAGGCAAAGGCTGAAGCTGCGAGACGTGCAGCAACGCAAGCTGAGACCATGGCGGAACGCGAGGTGGCCAAGGCGATGGCGGCTGTTGCGGACGCACATGGCGCAGCAGAAAAGGCGCGTCATAATGCAGCCACGGCTGAGGCCGAGGCCGAGAAGTATCAGGCAGAAGCCGAACAGGCGCGGGCAAAGGTCAAAAACGCGGAACGCGCGGCTGCGGCGGCCGAAACTGCAGCAGATGAATCGCGTCGAGCGAGTGCGCGGGCTGTGGCGGATGCGAAGGCGGTTAGTGACCGCAAAATTGCCCAAGCCGAGGCCGAGGCGAGTGCTGCTGTGGCGGCTGCCGAAAAGATGAAACAGGCGGCGTCGGCGCGGGTTGCTGAGGTTGAACGCCGCCTTGCGGAGATGCGGACCGAGGTTGACGAGGCTCGGGCAGCGGCCAAGAGGGCCACACAAGCCGAGATGCAGGCTGCACAAAAGGCAGCCAAGGCCGAAGTTGCAGCAGTTGAGGCACGTGAGGCTGCAGAGGCAGCGGAGCGGCAGGCCGAGGCTCGGATCGCCGAGGCGGTGCGCGAGGCTGGAGTTGTCCGCGCCCAGCGTGATATGGCAATGGATGAAGCCAAGGCTGCCGCGGCAGCAACCAAGGAGGCGGAAGATGCATTAGCAGAAAGCGCTGCTCGCGCCGCAGAAGCGATTGCTGCTGCTGAGCAAAAGGCTGTGGAGGCAGCTGCAGCAGCTAAGAATGCGCGGGACGATGCTGTCGACACATCGCGCGAGGCGCAGCGAAAGGTGGCAGAGTGCGAGGCTGCTGCAGCAGGCGCCTCTGCCGAATTGCGAGCGCAGCTGCGCGAAGCTCGGCGTGCATGCGAGGAAGCAGAGCGTGCAGCAAGTGCGGCTGAAGTGCGAGCACTCAAGATGGTCGAGGCTGCTGAGGCTGAGGCGAACAAGGTTCGCGAGCGAGCGCAACGGCTTGTGGCCGATGCTGAGGCTGAGATTGCAACCAAGGCCGGTCTAGCTAATGCCCGAGTGCAAGATGTTACCGCCGATGCTGAGCGCAAGGTGTCTGATGCAGAGACGCGTGCTGACAAGCGGATTGCTGAGGCGCAGAGTGCGGTGTTGCGCAAGGTGACGGAGGCTGAGGCTGACGTGGAGCGAATGCGTGCTCGGCTGGAAGCTGCCGAACGCAGCGCAGCAGATGCCAAGGCAGCAAGCGTCGAGGCCGAGCTGACGGCTGCGGCTGCACAGCGTGCTGCGGCTGCTGCAGAGAGCACTGCGAGTGATGCGGTGGCAGATGCAAAGAACAGGGCTAGCGCTGCTATTGCGCGAGCTGAAGAGGCCGAAGTGCTGCTGGATGCAGCTCGTCGCTACGCCAAGCAGGCTGTGGCCGATGCGGAGAAAGAGAGCACGGAACACGCAGCTGCAGCTGCCAAGGCTGTGTCGGAAGCGCGGCTGGCACGACTCGCTGTCGAAGAGGCAGAGCAGCGGGCCGAAAATGCGGTGGCGCGGGCAGAGCAAGCCGAGGCGGCACTGGCCACGGCACGCAGCGAGGCTCAAGATGCGGCTGCCCTGGTGAAAGCATTGACTGATCAGGAAGTCGCTGCCAGCGCTGCCCATGAGCGTGCGCTGACAGCTGCGAGGAACGAGTTTGATGCTTCACTGCGTGCGGCTTCAACTGCGGCTGAGGCTGCTCAGCGCGAGGCTGAGCGACGAGTGTCGACGATTGAGGCACAGCTGTTAGAAGCGGAGCGAAAGCTGGCGGAAGAAGTTCAGGCGAGACGCGAGGTCGAGCGGGCGCTGCGCGATGCCGAGGAGCGCGCGCTGGAGCAAGTTGCTGCGGTTGAGCGCAAGGCGTTCAAGGCCGAGAGCCGACTGCAGCAGAGCAAAGCTGAGCTAGCCGAGTTGCAGGTCGAGCTGACCGAGGCAAAGCAGGTGGCGCAGCAAGCGATGACTGATGACCAGGCACGTGTGGAGCGCACGATCGAGGAGGCCAAGTGCAAGGCAGCTGCGGCTGTCGCAGATGCCAAGAGCACGCGTGCCGAGCTGGACGCTACCATTGCCGAAATCGAAGGTCTCAAGCGAGAGGCTAGCAAGGCTGAACGGACTGCGCGACAGGCGATGGATGAGGCCGACGACCGGGCTGCCGAGGCTGAGCGTGCGGCAGGCAAGGCTGCCGCCCAGGCTGAGCAAGCACGAGCTCAGGCTGCCGAAGCAAGGGCCGAGGTCGCGCGAGTGCTTGAGGAGAGCAAGGCCGAAGTGGCTGCTGCCCGTGCTGCTGCTGCAGTGGCGCAAGACGCGCGAGCAGCTGCCGTGGCTGATGCGGAGCGCATGTTGGCTGAGGCCAGATCAGAGGCGGCGGCAGCTAGAAGTGAGGCGCAAGAGGCCAAGAACAGTGCCGAACTTGCTTTCGCTGAGGTTGAGCAGATCCAACGCGAGGCAAAGCGGAGTGTGACTGCAGCTGAGGTGCTTGCCGAAGAGCAGATTGCCGAGGCTCAGCGGGAAAGCGCCAAGGCGCGAACGCGGGCGCAGCAGGCCGATGTCGATGCTGCGGAGGCACGGCAGGAGGCAATTGCAAGCCGCGAGGCGCTGAAGGCTGCACAGGCCGATGCCGAGGCAGCCGTGCGCGAGGCAAAGCGTGCTGTGTCAGAGGCTCAGCAGGAGGCGGAGGAACAGTCTGCCGCGGCGCAGCGGGAGGCCGCCAAGGCGGCAGCAGCCGCCAAGCAGGCTATGCTTGAGCGTGATGAAGCGAAGCATGAGACCGAGCGCGCAATGGCGGATGCTGAGCGCGCGGTCGCTTCGGCCAGCGATCGCGTTGCCGAAGCGCTGGCTGCGGCCGCACGCAGCTCTGATGAGGCGAAGGCTGCGCGCAAAGAGGCTGAGAATGCCAGAGCGGATGCCGAGAGCACACGGCGAGAGGCGAAGCGAGCTGTGGCCGAAGCCGAGGTCCGTGAAGAACACGTTGCTGCGGCGCAGCGCGAGGCGGCCAAGGCCGACACCCGAGCTAAGCAAGCGGAGGCCGAAGCTGAGATGGCTCTAGCGGGTCTTGACGAGGCGCGGCGGATGGCGGAGCTGGCCGCTGCCGAACGCGAAAGCACAGCTAGCAAGGCAAGCGCGCGCGTCCAGCAGGCTGAGGCCGCGGCGGCAAAGGCCCGACATGAAGTCGAGCAAGCTGAGACTCTGCTTGCAGAGGCGAAGCGTGAGGTTATCGAAGCCAAGCGATCAGCAGCTGAATCGGAAGCTGAGCGCGAGGCAGAGATGGCCGCCGCAAGGCGCGAGGCAGAGAACGCACTGGCATTGCTGCAACAGGCCGAAGCTGAGGCTGAGCAGGTCAAGGCGAATGCGACGGCTGCTGGCCGCGAGGCAAATGCACGGATTGCCGCACTGCAGCGCGAGGTTGCTGAGACCAAGCAAGCTGTTGCCGATGCTCACATGGAGCGCGAGGCGCAAGTCTCAGCTGCGCAGCGCGAGGCAAGCAAGGCGCAAGCGCATGCCAAGCAGGCCGAAGCCGAGGCAGCCGAGGCCCGAGTGACTGCAGAGACGCAGGTGACTGAGGCGCGACGCGAGGCTAGCGAGGCCAGGCGCGCACTGACTGAGGTCGAAACAATGCGCGAGGTGGCCGAGGCCGAAGCGCAGCGCGAGATCACCAAGGCCGGACTGAAAGCGAAGCAGGCTCAGGCCGAGGCAGCTGACGCCAGGGCTGATGCCGAGAAGGCCAAGGATGATGCCGAGAAGATCAAGGCTGAGGCCGAGGGCGCACGGCAGGCAGCTGAAGAGGCTGTTGCTGCCGCACGGCGTGAGGTTGTCGAGGCGAAACGGGCAGTGGTGGAGGCCGAGACCGAGCGCGACTCCAAGGTTGCGGAGGCGCAGCGCGCGGTGGCCAAGGCCGGAATTCAGGCAAGGCAAGCCGAGGCGGAAGCCGAAGAAGCAAAGGCCGAGGCCGAGAAGGCCAAGGCTGCGGCCAAGGTCGCCAAGCGCGATGCCGAGGAGCAGGTGGCCGAAGCACATCGCGAGGCCATCGAGGCCAAGCGAGCTGTAGCAAGCGCCGATAACCAGGCCGAGGACCAAGTGGCCGGAGCGCGGCGCGAGGCCGTCAAGGCCAAGGTCTTGGCCAAGCAAGCACAAGCTGATGCTGACGCGGCCCGAGCCGAGGCTTCCGAGGTGAAGGCTGACGCCGATACCAAGGTCGCTGCTGCACAGCGCAAGGTGGTTGAAGCGAAGCACGAAACGGAGCAGATGGCAGCCGAGGCACAGCGCAAGATTGCCGATGCTGACGCTCGGGCCAAGCAGGCCGAAGCCGAGGTGAAGCGGGCGGTGGCTGAGGCAGCCGAGGCCAAGCAGGCAGCGGCTGATGCTGAGACGCGCGCCAAGCAGTCTGACGCTCGGGCCGAGCAGGCCGAAGCCGAGGTGAAGCGGGCGGTGGCTGAGGCAGCCGAGGCCAAGCAGGCAGCGGCTGGTGCTGAGATGCGCGCCAAGCAGTCTGACGCTCGGGCCGAGCAGGCCGAAGCCGAGGTGAAGCGGACGATGGCTGAGGCAGCGGAGGCCAAGCAGGCAGCGGCTGATGCTGAGACGCGCGCCAAGCAGTCTGACGCTCGGGCCGAGCAGGCCGAAGCCGAGGTGAAGCGGACGATGGCTGAGGCAGCCGAGGCCAAGCAGGCAACGGCTGATGCTGAGACCCAGGCTAAGCAGGCTACTGCAGAGGCCATCGCGGCCAAGGCCAGTGCCGAAGCGACGCAGGCTGTAGACCAGACGCTGTCTGAACAGCTGGCGCGCTTTGAGGAGCGTGCCTTAGCTGCTGAAAAGCGCGCCGGAGAGGCCGAGTCAGCAGTGGCAGCGGCGCAGGAGCTCTCAGACGGGGCAGAGGCATGCAAGAAGCGATGGGCCGAGGCCGAGGTGGCTCTGCGCGAGTCTGTGGCCGAGCGCGAGGCGCAGATCACAAGTTTGACAGCCAAGGTGCAGTCACTGCTTGAACGGCTTGCAAAGCTCGAAGACGAGGCGCGAAGCGCTGTCGAGGGCGAAGACAAGGCCAAACGAGTGCTGGCTACAGCACAGGAGGCTGCCGAGCACGAGCGGGCACTGGAGGCTAAGCGCGCGGCAGCGGCGGCACAGCGAATCCAGCAGCTCGAAACCATGCTCGCCGACCGCAGTGCAAGCGCGGCTCATGACAACGGCGACCTGGCCGACGAAGTGCTCAAGGCGCACATCAGCGAGCTGGAAGCCGAAGTCGGAGAGCTTCGCGAGGTGGTCAACACGCAAAAGTCAGAGAACGCTATGCTTGCGCAGTCGCTCTCGACCGACGCCGAGCTAAAGCGAATGGTAGCGGTGCTGACCCGGGCGCTGGCCGATGCGCGCGCTGAGGCCAAGGCCGAAGCCGCCAAGGCAGTGCGGCTCACATCTGCATTGCATGGGCTCAACAGCCGAGTGGAGGTCATGATCGCTGACAACGCACGGCTTAAGGCTCGCAACGACGAGCTCGCAGCCGAGGTGGCTGACGACTCTGGCGCTCTCAAGCGGATGGCGCACGCGCTCTCGCTCAGACTTGAAGATGCGCTCGACGCCAAGGAGGCGGCCGAGGCCAAGCTGTTGGCGCCGTCAACGACACACGTGCTCGCGTCGAGCAGTGAGGCTGCCGCAGCGCTGGCAGAGGCGCAGATGGAGATGGCGGCTTTGGTCGACGAGCGCGAGGGCTTGCTGGAGCAGCTCGCCGAGCTGGAGCACAGGCAGCGCGCGGGCGGACTGGTTGACGTGCTTGTGGCACGGCTGGAGGCGATCCATGCGGCCACAGCTCGGCTGGCGGTGAGCGAAGGAGCGCGTGCGTGGGCAAGTGAGGCGTCCACACTCGCCGGTGAGGTGACCGGCGAGCTGGCGGCACTGACGGAGCAGGAGGCGTCACTGGCAGCTGCACACGAGGCGTTTGCGAGGCGGAGCGGGATCATGGATGACGCTGCGCGGGAGCAGGTGCTGGCAATCCTTCAGCAGGTGAGCCGTGGCGTTTAGTAAAAGAAGAAAGCTAGGCCTTTGCCGCAAAGACGGCACCCTGGGCAGCAGACTCCTGCAGGAGCGCGCGCGAATCGCGGGAGAGGTCGCCGCCGCGGCCACGGTAAATCGAGTGCACGACGCGGATCATGGCGATGGAGCAAATGAGGAGGATGAGGAGGAAGAAGATGTTGACGACGCAGAGGGTGGTGCCGAGGTGATAGCCAGCCTGTGAGAGGCGGACGGCGGTAACGATGCCTGCACCGCCAACCTTGGTGATGCCGACGAGGAGGAGGGCGATAAAGAGGATGTGGATGATGAAGCCCATGAAGAACGACACAAACTTGGAGGCCTTGCCGACGCGCATGGCCGCGTACTGCGGGACGTACCAAAAGCCGAGCGCAAGAAACGGAGCAAAGAGCATGTAAGCGAGGGCGAGGAAGAAGCCGACAATGTCGCCGACCTTGGCGACCATGGCCCAGATCTGGACCACAAAGTTAAAGGTGAGCGTGAGGAGCGTCCAGTAGTACAGCATGTACATACGGCGGACAGTGGACTGGAACTCACGCGGGATCTCACCCTTGATGTCGTGATGGATGATGGGCCGGCAGCGCGGCCAGTTGGCCGGGCGCATGCCCTGGATCTTGGCCAACATCCGCTGCAGCTCCTCCTCCTTCTGCACCAGCTGGACCTGCTTGGCCTCAAGCTCTGCCTCGCGGCGGTTAAGCGCCTCGACCTTGTCGCCATAGTCCAGCGAGCTTGCCGCGCCTGAGAACATCGATCCTGCATTGGCCGGCTTTGAGAACATGCTCGCGCCATCGTCATCGCCTCCGTTTCCAGCAGTCCTGCTCGACGTCTCGATGGGCGTGTACGACGCTGTCGAGGTAGCTCGAAAGCCCGACTTTGTCCCTGATCCCGTTGATCCGCTCGCTGCACTCTTCTTCTTCTTCTTCTTCTTGGCTGGGACCGACGACACGGGCATCTGCGCGCGGGGGGGGGGGGGGGGGGGGGGGGGGTAGGAGGGGA